AGCCTCCTCGCAGGAAACCTGTGTCTGCAGGCGCACTGTGCGAGGTGCTAGCAGGGGAGAGACCCTCACTTCAAGTTTCCTACATCCCCTGCCAAGACCGCGGGCCTCACCCCTAGTCCCAAATACAGACAGGCAGGGCAGGGGTGGTAGGCTGTTGGGGGCTCAAGTCACCCCTTCTCTGCAAGCCAGTCATAGATAAGTCCTGGGCGCCTAACCAGGAGATGCTGAGGAGTCCGCCTCTAGGTGCCACTGGGGTGTGCATACTTGCTGTTTCCACCAGCAGACACTGCCCAAGGGCTGCTGCCCAAAGCCTGTCCGAGCATGCCATCACCTGGGAAGCTTCTAGAAATAGACTCTGGTCGCCACTCCATCAAACCTGCCGAGAGGGCTCTGCAGCTGGGGACCCTGAGATCTGTGGCCAAGCCCGACCTCACCCTCCCTGGCACTTCAGGTGCCCATGAAAGTGCCCGCTGTACACATGTCCCTGGTGTGTCTGAGAAAGCTGCGAACGCTGGTCTTGGCGTGTGAGCCTTGCATCTGGGTGCGTGTGGTTTTCCCTCAGCCACAGTGAGCTACTGTATCTACCTGCACGAGTCCGTCAGCACTGGCCTCAGCAGCCTTCTGACTCCCCGAATCAGCCTATCAGATGCAAGGTCTGGGACCCCAGTGTCCTGCTTCTTGTTCTTCCTGTCAGTCTCCTTTTTCCAGAACCCACGCTGTGGAGACCTGCGGTGCCATGCTCTGCTTCCTGCTGTCTTCGGCTAGTATTCTCACTTATGTTCCACTTACTAAGGCACTGACTCCTTGGATCGTGGTGGTGGTTGTCAGGGTTCAAAATCAAACCCGGGCCCTCCCTGGTGGTGCAACGGGTTAAAGCACAGCACTAAGAAGCTAAAGCCGCTTCAGCATGAATTCGATCCCCGCCCCAGAGGTGACCCATATGGCACAGCAGACCTCTCCTGACGCGTCTGCTGCTCCCCTCAGCAGTGTACTTCATCAACCTGCCTGTTCTGCTCCCCGCTCTGTCTCTGGTGAATCCTCTCATGGCCCCTTTACCTCTGGCCTATACCTCAGTTCTGTATGCATAAATAAATCAATCTTAAAAAAAAAAAAAATCAAATCCTGATTTCCCTTTCCAGCTGCTTGCTGCTTTTGAGCCTTCACCAAATAAACACAAGAAATTGACTCATTTGTTAACAAGGTGCTACCACAAATATCCCATTCTAAGGGGAGGTACATTGTGTTCCCACAATGCTGGACTTGGAAAAGGGTTTCTGTATCACTGATATTCCTACCCCAAATGGAAAGTCCCAGAAAGGAAAGGCAGACAGACTTTCTGGTTTGTAGACACATCATAATTACCTACAGTGTCCTGTAGGTACGCTGAATTCATGGTGCACTGGGGAAGACAGGCTGGTTAAGAGGAGATACACAAACGGGGCATTAGGGAAGAAGAGCAGTCATCTACTGTGTCCACATCAGTCCAACCACCCCGTCCATGATATATAATGACAACAACAGTGAGCACCTGGATCCCCAATGTGGGTGCTGCCCCATGATGCGAATATGACATTAAGAAAGACATCACGAGTTGTTACAAGGATCATGAAGGAAACTACAGGGCTTATTACATGCTAGAGGCTCAGATATGAAGATGTGTGTATCTGGGGAGACTTCCTGGAAGAGTGAGTCCTGAAACTGGGGAAGTCGGAAGTGGAAGCCCAGGGAGAAGGGAAGCTTGCTCCTCCTCCAGGGGCAGAGGACTCCTCTAGGGCTGCCACTGTCCTGTGCTGTGGTGGGCCTGAAGGTCCAGAAGCAGAGCCCACCATTGCCAACATGAGCACCCCTCCAAGAGTTTTTAGGGAAAGGACATTTGTTCTCCTCACTTAAAATTCAGAGAGCCTTGTGCCAGCCCCTCCCTCCATGAATAGTTTTATTCCATCAAGTAGGGATTCCAGACACTCCCATCTTAATCCTCATCACAAGTTTATATACTCACTGATCTATATTCTTTGCATTAAGCTCTTAAGCTTGATTCATCAGAAAAATCTAGACAGGCGCCCAACAAGAGAGAGTCTCCCACAGAGGACCTCACAGATGGTGCCCTCCGGTCCTCAAGACCCAGGTGCTTCAGAGCCCACAGTACCAATGGTGCAATCAGATCAAACACAAGAGGTCTTCTCCTTTCTTTCTGCATGTATGTTAGTATCTACCCCTGAGGATGCCGACTTTTCCAGAAGACAGTGATTCCAGTTCCCACACCTCAGGCTATTCCACCAACCATTAACGAATCAAGCACCAACATCAGACTTACATACAAAGCTCGGCTCCTCTTCCCACTGGAGAGATGAGATCTCTATTCCTCTTACACCTAACACCAAGATTTCTCTCCAAGATATTCCCAAACTGCTGATTCTGACGTTAGAACTGATTCTCTTGATGCCACAGGAAGCCGGAGACAGGTTTCCTGATTGATGGGCTAAGCAAACTCTTTCGAGCTGAACTATGACAATTACACATTTGGCAAAGACAATCAGTACCTCCATTTTTGGTTAGAAAAATATAAAAAGAGACAAGCTCCCACTTACTTAGGCGGAAGCACCCATTTCACATGTTATGATGTTAAAAACTCTTTACCGTCATTTTTAAAAGATCAGAGTGTGGAATTTTTCACCCCTAAATAGATCTCATTATTAAAAAGATGAGCTGTGTCTATACCTGAGCAAGGACACACTCATTGTGGTGTCACCAGGAACAACGTCCATGCCCTCCTCTGCTGACGGGCCCTATGGCCTCTTCAGATTCACTTCAACCTGAGACCATGCCACTTGTGAGGCTTATAAAATATTGTTGCATGTCACCCTGAGTTTCTGATTCACCAGATGAGGATGTGACAAGAGGGTTTGCATTTCTACCAAGTTTTCAGGTGACACTGATGCTGCTGGTCCAGGGATCTCACTTGTTTTTTTAAATAATAGTTTATTTTTACATCATTTTGTGCATTTTTGGGGACCACACTTTGAGAACCACTGCTCTGTGGACAGCTTTATGTCTGAATATGCCTGGAATATAGGTGCTGTTGGATACTGGGGGGTCAAAGAGGTACACTTGACTTAAAAAGTTCACAAACCTTCATTTTTTTTTCTTTCTTTCCCCAAAGAGGCAGGTTGCACCAAATAAACAGGAAAAAAAAAAAAAAGATACTATATTCGAGGGGAGCAGTGATGAGCAGATCTGGGAGAGAGATGATGCAGACAAGATACTTCCAGCAGAAGGGAGTGTCTCAGATAACTTGGAACTTTACAGCCTCTGGGAGGAAGGCAGTGCTGAGATAACTAACCAGAGGCACGTGTGTCATGCCTTAGAGCAAAGGCATCTCAGTTCCTCTGAACACCAGCTCTCCTTTCCACGGGGATCTGGGTCTGCAGCTGGGGAACTAGGGTGCCCTGCGGGCCTGTCCCTGTACCACCACCCCCACCCTGGCCGGGTTCCAGGTGAGCATGACCTGCAGCGGGGATTGTATTGTCCCTCCACAGTGACAAACAGGCAAGGAGCTCTTCCTTATTCTCCGCCCAGCAGCGAGCAGTGAAGCCCAGAGAGATCAGCCCTCATCTGAAGAACTGGGGAGAATGGCCCAGGGGAGGAGAGTCGTTGGAGCAAGAGGCATGAAACAGAAGAGTCAGAGGCCTGGGACTCAGTCTGAGCCCCATGGACAGCAGAGGATTCTGAAGAGAAACCTTAGGAAGTGGTGAAGGAACAAGAGGAGGTCACAGGCAACTCCCTTCCCTCTTCCAGCCAGGCAGATTTCTCGGTTCTGTTGATAGGTGCCCGAGTTAACTGTCCCTGGGTGCTGTACCAGAAGAAATGTCCTGAGGAGTGGACTCCTGTTTACAAGTTGGAAAATGTTTGTCCTCAACAATGGGTGTATACAACACTTCTAGAGAAATTACAAGGAGGCACCTCTTTAAGACTTTTCCCTGCCTTGACTGGAAAATTGAGTGAATGCACTGATCTTATTAGCAAAACCCTTTACCTCATATTCAAAAGGAGTTGTCACAATAATTACAAAAGCCTCGGCTGTTAATGATGGGACTGCTGTTCCCCTGGAGGGGCCCTTCGGGCAGTCTACAACATGCGTAACCATACTCGGTGGCCCTGAAGTTCCAAAGACCCAACAGAAAGGGAGAAGGAATGCTTCTACCTCAAACTGAAATACTATAAAAGTACTGAAAACAGAAAATGTATAAAAGGAATAAGAAGCAAAGGTTTTGTCTCCCATGTTTCTAGTTATAAGCAAGATGAATTGGCCAATGACTGTCCATGCTGTCTAGGCTCAGTGTGGGTGGAGGACGGTAGGGTTCCAACAGACAGAAAGCATATTCTTTCCTCACAGCTTAGATGGGGAAGAAGAGCAAACAAGAGACGATATTAAAAATGCGAGATCTGGGATACAGAGAGGTGACTGAGCACCACACCCAAGCACAGGCAACCTCAAGCCTTGGACTCTTGCCCCAGGCAGTGTGAGGGCAGGCTGCAGGCCGGAGCGCTGGGCAGTGTGTGCCTTGGGACAGCCAAGTGTGGCTAAAACCGAAGACGCACCTATACAACTGAATGGCTTAGTGCTATTTTACTGTTCTGCTTGCAAGCAGAAATCTGTTTAAGCTTCAATTCACAAACAGTAGCTTTCCAACACTGTATCGAAAGCAGCAATACAACCCTTGCAATCTATTATTGAGCCTCCTAGAAACTGAGATATGTGCTAAACTCGATACCCAGTTGCTCTCCTACTTGATTCCAGGAAAAAAATTTTTTTCATAATGGAAAGAGATTTACCCTCATCAATTTTTCTGAAAGATTCTGACAGAAAAAGAAAGAACGCACGGTGGTCCTCTCCCATCCTGGCGTCTAGTGGACTGTCTCAAGCTTGTCTTTCTGGTCCTGACACTCATTTCAGGAAACCACCACCGCACAGAGCTGCCCGGGAAAGAGAGGCCACTCACTGCTCCCAGGACGGAAGACGAGCCGGCTCCTTCGTCCTCTTCCCCGCCTGCCTCCTGGTCTTCGTTGTCGGTCCAAGAAGACACGTCTTCTACTGAGCTCGTCAGGTCAGGCAGACTCTTCGACGTCAGCCTGAGCAGGTCCTCTGCAGAGGTTTCCTATGGGACACAAAGGCCCACGAATTACCCCAGGGCACCAAGCCACTGTCCGTCAAGGTCGAGGACAAGCTTGCAATGCCAGCTGTGGGGGTCAGGGGCTCCCCATCCAGAGACTACATGGCATGTGGATTCCACATATCCAGCACCAGGTCAGGCGTGTGGAGACAATTTAAGCACAGACTAATTTTTTTCCTGAAGAATTTGTGTTTCTTAGATCAAGGTTTTCACAGGGAATTGAAGCTCTCCGAATTTATGATCTTTCATTGCTGTACCCTGGTCCTGCTCTCAGGATAAACCCCTTCACTGGCAGAGGTCGGGCATCTCCCGCCTCACTAGACTCAGCTCTCGATTCTCCCCCTCCGGTCTGTGCCTTCCGCTCAGCTACACCGTCTTCCCATCAGATGTGGGGCTCCCTGCCTTACCCCCTGTGCCCAGACCAGCCCAGAGTAAGGCCACGCAGGCAAAGCTTGAACGGGCCTCTTCTTCGGCAAGTCTTCCTGGGCCATCTCGGGAGGCCCTCCATTCACCCCCCTTCTGCCCCAGCGCCTTCATGACACTTCTCACTCGCTTGGCAGTGCAGGCTGTCTCCCCCTGCCTGCCTGAGAGCTCCTGGCCCAACCCAGAGCCGCTCTCCAGTTCTTCCTCCTCTCCCAGCTGCTCATCTGTGAGCAGATAGTTCTTAAGACATTCGATTGGTTATTGAACTATGGCACCAAGGTGGAAACTGGTAACATCTTCAAGGAAGGCAGCATTGGAACAACATTTAAAGGTCAGCAAAAACAAGGAATCAGGCTCCATGAAAATGAGATCCTTTGAAAGGGGGCATCATCAATCAATTGACACCGCCCTCTCCAGGCACAGGTAAGGCCGGGGGCGGGGGTTTGCCAGGAGCAGGCAAGATCACAGAGGCCACATGAGCATCCGGGAAACACAGGTGCTGAGAGGTGTCCTGATGAAGGAGGCACACAGGCGCCAATCAGGGGCTGCAGAAGGTTCCAAGGTCCATTCCTGAGTTTTCAAGGAAACTCGTGGAAGGTGCTGATCACTGCACCCCTTGAGGGTAGACAGAAAAGAGAACACCACATGCCACTTAACAATACATCTCACAAGCTATTCGTGAGTTGGGGCCTGGTGACAGTGATGCCTGTGACTAGCTAGATGCTGGTTCCATCTTCCAGGAACCCAAAGGCGATTCGTTCTAGATCAGTAATTGTGATGAGTACTCTGTTAGCCAAGGAGCGAGCGTTCTTAAAGAGTGAGTCCAGTCCTCTTCTGTAATGTCCACTCGGCTAGCCCATTATGATGAGTCAGAAAAAAGGAAAGATGAAGGTCCTGACTGGTGAGTGAATCGTGCAACAGCCTCAGAACCTCTTGGTGTAACAAGGACGCTGTAGAAACAGACTTCTAATGTGGAAAGATTCTCACTGCATGCTCCTCAGTGTAAAAGCAGGTTAGAGACAACACAACCATTTTAATAAAAGGTATAAACATAAACTAGGTGTAATAACATGTGACCATCATAGAGACCAGGCTGTCTCCAAGACCTTGTCACTGGCTACATTATTCAGGGACTCGTAAAGCTCATATAATTCACCTAAAAGCCCCATGAACAGTGAGAACACTCCGAGGTAGAGACAGCAGCTTGCTCAGGTCCCACAGCTTTTAAAGGGCTGTAATGATTGTGGGTATGGGGGTGGGGGGAGCTGTGTGCAGGTTTAGAAGCTTTCTTAGGTTTGATTCCATTTGGGAGAAAAACTCGTGTGCGCCATGGCACAGACTCACAGGGCTCCTGTCCGGAAGGGCGGATCCTGGCCCGTACTGGTGGGACAACATTTTGTTTTGTTTCTACTCTCTATTTTTTCCCCTGGTTTTTCTCCATGAGTGACCGCCTATTACCGGTATGGAAACCTAGACTGAGAACAGTGAGAGGAATCTGTAACGCCATGCATGTCCTTCTAGGAGTAGCAAGTGAACTTGTAGGGTCTGAGTTCATTCAATAAAAAATGTTCTTAGCACCAACATGTAAGCCAGGCACATATTTGCATGGGAATGGGAGCCACTCTCCTACAGAAGCCCCTCTATTTCCAAAACACCACCATAACATTTTACACAGAAGGGACTATTGTCTGCAACAACAGTAATTTACATTTTTATGATTCCTTACATTCATCCAGTCAAATACTCTCCCCACCACCACCCCCCCTTCAAATAATAAAGACAGAAACAAAGCCTGGGCCTCACTTGCTCCTGCTGGGTAGAAGGAGATCCAGGTGCCCAGGGGGCCTGCTTCTTGCCTCCTCTGCCACCCAGCTGCACGCCTGGGATGGTAGAGACCAAGTTGGGGTGCAGGCTAGGAGCTGCTAGTTTACTGCATTTATTGTATCGCCCAGGTGACAATGGAACATGCCAGAGTATGGGGATGGAGTCGCCGTCTGAGGCTTGAGTCAGCTTTAGGGCTGGGCTCAGTACAGACGGGTGAGAGCTGATGGTTGGACACACAGGATGGACATCCAGTCCTTGGCCCCGGACTGCTGCTCAGCACTGCATGGAGTACAAGGCGAGTCCTCGCCCCAAGACCACAGGCGTGCTGCCCTTGATGGCGCCTTCAACGGGGCAGTGTGGTCTGGGAAACATGAGCATGGACGTCCCCACAGAGCCAGGATGAAACCCGCTTCTCCCACCCATTGCTTGCTTGACTCCTGGGCAAGCGAACTGCTCTGCTTTAATTTCCTCCTTGGAGTGGAAAGAACTGCTAACTGGCTCATGGGATTTGCGTTAGGAATTAAATGGAATAACAGGCAAAAAAGCACCTGGCAGCCAGTGGGCATCCGAGCTATGTCCGTGTCCTTTTCTCAGATCACTGAGGAAGGCCACAGATTGGGTGCTCCGGCTCCCCCTTCTCCAGGAACTAGTGTTCAAGTCGCCCCTTCGTTACTCGTCTTCCCCTGAGTGAGCTGCTTGGTTCTATTTCATGTTTGCTTTGTGTCTGTAGATAATGGCTTGACCCACAAGGTTCCTGCTCTCATTTTCCAAACCAGCAGGAGAAAGAAATCAGCACAGACATAGTGGTTTGGTGGACACATGTCATGTCCGTGTAGAAGACTCAGTGGTGCTCAGCTCTTCAGTCATGGCCTTTGGGAGGCTGTGTGTGTGTGTGTGTGTGTGTGTGTGCGCGCGTGCGTGCGTGAGTGCGTGTATATGTGTGCATGCGTGTCTAAGACCCATGATGCTTTTCAAACTCTTGTCTATGCTGCCCTGTGGACTTCTATGTCTCCTCCATGGGGGGGTAACTGTTGTCCACCTCGTCCTTCCTTCCACCCTACTAGTCTTACCTTCTCCCTCATGCGAGTCTTGCTTTTCCATCTCCTAAATATGGCTTTAAAGACTCTTGAAAGAAGACAAAAAATAATAAATGCACTCCAGCTAAGGACCTTCTCCTTGGCTTGCACTGTAGCATCATGGCCGGTCAGTGTGGTCGTGTGCATGTACAGGTGTGCACATATGGGTGTCTGTTGCCTGGGGGTGGCATGGGGAGGGCTCACATTCCCACTCCCCACCACCATTAAAAGTGTTCAGGAAAACAAACACGACCTACCTTGCTGGCCACCACCAGCTGCACCATGCCAGTGGCCGAGCGGAGAATGGCCACTGCTTCCTCGTGGGAGAGCCCCACCAGTAAGTGGCCGTTGATCACCAGCAGCTCGTCTCCTAGAGACAGCCTGCCATCCCTGCAGAAAGGGGGATGGAACACGCCCGTCAACACATTTAGGGGTTGAGATGGGGCATTTCCCTGTAGCTGAGGAGGGTCACGGAGGGGACGTTATCACCAGGCTAAACAGGCCACCACGGAGAGCTGGGGAGGGCACAGCTTTATGCTTGGTTCTGGCTGGACTCCACAGTCCCACTCTGTGGCGTACAAAGCACCATGAATGTAGTGATGAGCCTGTTTTAAGTCACCATCATATCTGGCGGTCAAGGTTGGTGAATTGTGTGCCATCCAGGTGGAGAGAATGAGCAGCATCCAGACCCCCAGGTTGGCAGAGGCCAAGCCACTCTTTTCTGGCGGCTGCCTGCCACCTGCCACCTGCCTCAGGGCAGAGTCCTGTGCCAGCCAACTCACTGGCTGAGCCCCTGCAGAGCACCGGTGTCCTGAGCTCGCCATGCGTCCTTGCTGGGCCTCACCGCCTTCTTCCCAGGAGACACGCCCCAGCAGAGAGCCTCTGGCCTCGTGTGACACCACAATGTCTGCCCCCCCACTCCACACAGCTATGGACACGGAGGACGATGTCCCTCAGTGCCTTCTTATCCTTGTGACTCTGAGCTGGCTTCATAAACAGGAGGGTGAATACAAACTAACCCTCTCCCATTTCTTTTATTTTCCATTTTAATTCCACCCTCACCCCTCCTGTTAGTAGTTAGAATGTCCCCCATGCAAACTGTATGCTTTAAAAACAGACACACACACAACTTCCGAAGAAAGGTGAAAGTGGAGAGGCCCACCCCGCACCCCTCCACCCCCTCAGAAACAGTTCATGTTGAAAACAGTCAAGAACAGTTCTAAGCAAGCTCACCTCTGGGCACAGCAATTTCCTAATTATCAACTTTCTAAGAATGTACTGGAACCTAAGACCTAGAATTAATGGGAAAATGACTCTGATGGAGTTCCTTAAAGTAGGTGCCATTTGGGAAGGTCAATGAGGCTCTCTGGGTAAAAACTATCTAGACTTTTTAAGATTTATTTATGCATAGAAGAACTAGGGTATAGGCCATATGTGTGGGGGGAGCAGGTGGAAGAGGTAAGAAGACTCACCAGAGACAAAGTGGGGAGCAGAATACGTAGACTGACTGACACACTGCTGAGGGGAGCAGAGGGTGAGACAGGAGAGGTGACCATGTGGGTCACCTCCTCAGCAGGGTATTGAACTCAGACTGTAATGGTGATATCATTGCGACTTACCCCCTAAGGCTAGCAGGGAGGCCCAAACTATCTAGTTTTGGCCCTTCAACTACCCTGCAGCCCGACAGCAGACAAGTGCAGTCTCTCTTATCTACAGTCAGGTGTGAGCACCTCATTCACCAGGAGGAGGCTGACAAGCATGCAACACAGGACAGCGTGGCCCTGGGTCTCTCTTTCACTTTCTATTCTTCAGATGAAATGCCTCCAGTTCCTTCCCGGTGAGAAGATCCCACCCCCTGAGATTTACTGTGAATGCCTCTTGGTGGAGGGCAGGTTAACAGCACTCAGCTTTCTCCCCTTAGCATCCAGGTACCTGGGCTAAAACCAAGTTCCAGGCTAGAGTCACCTCACTCATCAAAGAAACTTCACCTTCATATGTCTCATGTAACATGTGGGCAATAGACTGATACGTAAGGCAAACAGAAGATGCCTCATGTCCACGGGAGCCATTGGCTAGCTTGGCAAGAGCACGCATTATAGAGAAAGTAAAGACACGTGTTGCTTACCACGGGGAGATGGTCTGAGAAATGCGCTGCTGGGTCCTTTGTCGTGTGACATCTACCGTGTAACTGAACAAAGCCAGTTGGCGTACCTACTGCCACCTGCGTGATAGGACACAGCCTGCTTGGGGCACTGTCTGTTTTTGACAATGCTGTTGCTAAGCAACATCTGACTGTACACTCTTGAAACTCCAGAGGGACGTCTGCTTTGTCCAAGCATTGATTGCCCTGCTTCCGACTTCAGGTAATTGTTCAGATTTTTAAAAACATGTCTTGTAGTAGGAATTGTTTTTAGATCTTAGGGAGGAAAAAAAATGCACATTTTCTCTATTCTTTTCCATAACTGCATGGCAGAGACATGCCATAGAAGCCCGGGACCCTGGTAAACCTGGCATCCTGACATGGCGCATGGCCACAATTAAAACGAGCCACTTTCCCATGTCCTCAGCCATGGACCTGGGTGGTGGTGACGCCAGGGATGGATGTGGTGTTGTGTTGCATGGCAGTTTTGATAAGTAACTGCGTAATTACCAGCATCAACAGGACAAGAACATTTGTTTGAAACTCAATCTGGACTAGAAAGAAATGCAGCCTTTCACGGTCAGGAGGAGCCTGTAGCCTCTCCAGCAATTAGCCACTTCCTGTGCTCAGAGTTGTGTTTAATTAGAACTGCTCATGTCTGGTTTCCAGCAGAAACTTGATGAATGGTAATTACCAGCTGCTGACCCAACGCAAGTCCCAGCACCCCAGGGGTAAGAAGAGGGAGAGGAGGCGGCGGCAGGGGAAAGGGGGAGAGGAAACTAGTCACCTGTGAGCGGCACCTCCTTCCTTCACTTGAGTGACAACGATAGCGTGAGGTGAGCGCTTTGATCCTCGGCCTCCACTAACCTGAATTCCCAGCCCATCAGATTCTTTAAGCAGCTCCATCTTCCATATCCGGCCAACTTCCTCCTTGGAAGAAAAATGGAGCGCGCTGTGAAGTGTACAGACAGACACACGGCACTGACACAGGAGAGAGGAGCTGTCAGGTCAGAAAATTACTTGTTACCTGTCAACATGCACAGGTGACCCCAGAAGAAAACCTGCCACAGGTTAGACAAAGTCTGGTTGGCAGTGCTGGCTAATAGAACTTTCTACGTGTTCTGTATTTGTACTATCCACTATGGAGCCACCAGCCACAAGTGGCTATCGGGTGCTTGGAATAGCTCAGCTTGGCAGCCTAAGACACTGAAATTTTCATTTCATTTCAACTAGATTGAAACAGCCACCAATGGTCAGTGCTGGATGGCGCAGGAAGTCATGACTGAGTTCCCTGATGAGGGTCGGTTAATTGCAGCTTCTTCTTCCTGAATCTCAGATAACAGTGTGTGCAGGCGTGTGTGTGTCTAGATTCCTTTTACTTATGTACAACTATTAGTTGATAAAGAAAGACAAAAAGGTCCCAAGTAGGTGCCAATGCAGGAGACTTCAACTCAGTAGCTCGGGTGCAACTCTGCCACGTAGTACTTATGAAAGTCATCTTGTGCTTAAAAATCTCAATTTCCTTGCTTATAAGGTGGGGTAATTATAAACATTTGCAGGTCTGTCATTAGGATTAAGTGAGCTGTTTACAAAAACAAGGAGCAGAGATCCCAAAGCTTAGTAGAGACCATCAGTGCGGACAGGCTCCATACACTGTGCATTACATACATGCACATGTTAGAATTATTGTATTGAGCTGACTCCCAAACTTCCCCTAAAACATAAACATAAGGTCACTGGTAGGGGAAACCCAAAAGAGAAACTGAGGCATCTGATAGGACTTATGTGGACTTTGGTCTACATGCTCTTCAAACACACTAAAAAGTGCTTTATTTAACTCTGTTAAAATAAAAATCTACCCTTTTTAAAAAATGAGTAGATGTCTCAGTCTCTGGACTGCTAGTTAAGTTTTCTGCTTTGGTTTGTTCTTCACTTGACTTGCTATTTCATTCCATAGACACAGACGTGCCTCCTCTGCAGAAGGTGTGAGCTCTCTTGGGCATGCAGCTAGTAAGAGAAATGAAAGAAAACCTTCCAAAGTGGCTTACTGGGAGGGCCTGCCTTGGGTTCACCCTGTGGCTCTTTTCAGCGCTGTGTAGGTGGGTGGGGATCACTGTGCATCCTTTAGCATTGAAAACAAAAGCCATCTGCTTTCTTCATCTATTACAAAGGTCCAGTGGAACAATTAAGGTCTAATCCGGACAGGCCACCATCCCCTTAGAGACAGGCAACCTGCCCATTCAAGCTGTTTGCAAATGAGAAAGAATGTGAAGCATCTAGAAAATCTGAAATGCGCACTGTCAGAAACTAAAGTGAAACTTCAGGCAACACTAGGAAAACCAGATGTTGACTGGCCACTGATGTGTAGCAAGAGGAATGTCTGGGGAAATTAGGACCAGACAGAGACCTGATGGATCCCCCCCTTTTTCCAGCACGGTGCTGCTCAGAGGGGCTCTGTTACTCCAGCGAGTTGGAGTGCCAACTGTCTCCTTCATCTGCTGACCACAGACGAATGAAGCCTGTCTGGCCAAATGTAACTTCAGAAGTCACTGGCTTAGCACAGTAGTTCATGAACTTGTCAACATTCCCTATATCATCCAGCCATCTCCCTTTGGACTCCATGTTTTTGGTTTGTTGCCTCTAACCTCTGGAACACCTTTCCTTCTCCCTCATTCAGAAACAGCGTCCCTGGTCGTCAAAGTCTTCTGTAGCTTGAGCACTGCCAAGAAGCCACCCTGGAGAATCAGCGCCACTGCCAAGGTGGTGACTCCCAACACTTCAGTTCCTGAGAGACTTGGCCGAGTGGAGAGCCCCGAAAGGCACAAGGCCAAGGGTGTGCTGATGAGAGCTCTTGCCCTAGCAATCTGGGCATCCCACCCCAGCATAAGGTCAGCCCCCACGCTACCTCCCAGACTCAGGAAATAGTTGAGATCTAAACCAGCATGGTGGCTTGACTACTTTTCTTCCATATAGCCAAGGCCATGGCTCCTGGGCCTCCTCCTGGAGAGAAGAGCAAATGGGCCTCTTTTCCATAAGCCTGGAGTGGAATATAGAAATAAGAAAGCCCATTTGGTTTTAGTCTGAATTAGTAAAAACTTCCCCCTCTCGGTTACCAATTTACCATCATTTGCCCTTTCTCCAACCCTCCTTATGTTTAACCGAATGTATTAAGTATGGTTCCCAAGTTGGTGACAATACCAGACACAATTCTTTGTAGTGGTCCCCCCTTGCCCCCCAAAATTCAGATTTTCTCTAGGAACAGAGGGGAGGGGCTCAGTCCTCTTGGCTGTTGCCTGCCTTGGAGGCCAGGACTTTGAGTGCTCTCCTCCTCACTTCCTCCTGGCTCGAATCCATAAACCTACACTTTTCTTGATGCACTTGACGGCCTGCTTGCCCTTGAGACCTTGATCAACTTGTCTGGCTCACGTCTGGGTGACCTTGTGGAGGCCCACGCCATGGGGAGCTGCCCCTCTATGGTGCTGTGGCAGAAGCTGTCCATATGACAAGAAGCATGCGAAACTCTGATTGGGGGAAAAAGTAATGATCTAATGTACGTGCGGGTAGTAAGAGTTAGGATTGTGGGAGCCCAGTCTTAGCCCTGCTCAATATACAGACAACCAGGGCCAAGCAGAGCAAAACGCACAGCAAATAAAAATGTCCTCAGAGGGCAGAAGGAGTATACTACTCTGTAGTATAGTTTCCAATATCCCACCAAGAAACAGACCGTATCTTTCACTTTTATCCAGTAACATGACTCCCTCGCCCCAAGACTGAAAATTCAAAGAGATCAATGCAAATTTGCTTGCCCTGGTATTTCTTGACTATCTAATGAAGGAACTTGGAGAACACAAAGAAAGGCATGAACAGGAAGAACCAGATGTTATCAGCCCTCATTGTACAACTGTCAGTGTTAAATCAAGCTGCCTGTAGCTGAAAGCAGAGTTCAGTTACATAAAAGGGCAGAGTGTGTAGTTGATTAGGTTCAAAGGATTGGTCAAAACCAACAGGCCAACTGAAACTGTAATAAGAAGCCTAGTTCCAACCGCCTCCTTGTGACTCAGCTCCTGATACACACCTCAGTGTGGTTAAAACAGGCTTCTGCTCCTCCCCTGGGTTCTTCCCTCTCAACAGGAAAAAAGCCATCACCTACTCAATCGAAGGAGGACATACAGCCCCAAAGTGTGTGGGCTACCTTTGATTTCTCCTGTTTCCTGCATAAAAACCAAGAGCAGAACCCGCAGGCGCTACCTCTCAAGCTCTTCCCAAATCTACCTCCATCGGTGGTCTTCCTGCCAGCACCTTTGTCAAAGTCACCAGCGTCTTCAGCTTGGGTTATCACAACAGCCTGCAAGCTGGTTTCTCCTTTTATTCTTCAGCCCCGACCATCCACTTATTCTCCATCACACATCGGGAGTGGAAATTTTAATAAAGCATGATGCACTCAACTTAAAACTCCCAACAGCATCCCACGGGGCTTAGAATAAAGTCTTAGCTGTTGGCGATGGCACAGCAGCCTGTTCGCTCCTTCTGTATCACCTCCCTTCCTGCTCTTCAGTCTCTCTGGGCCTGGAACATTCTACCATTCTTGCCTTAGGGCAGCTACAGGGCTGGTTCCTACTGGACACCTTCTGCCCCCTCTCCTGTCACTCAGCCTTCAGCACACACACGGTCTCCTCAATGACATCCTCACTGACTCCAACGCTACTTAGGCCCCATCACGGCTCCGCTCGCTTCCACACAAAGCTAATCTTGTTACTATGGAACATTCACATTCATGTATTTGCTCACGAACTTGTGGTTCCTTGTTCATGATAAACGCCACAGACAGGAACTTAGTGCTTCGTTTTACAGCGGGTTCTCTGGCCACGGAAACAGGGCCCAGCACCTGCCAACACTGCACACAGGCCAGTGAATTCGTAACTACAGGATGCTTATCACTGGCCTGTGGTTCTCCTGAAGCTACTGAGACTGACGTTAAGAGGGTCGTCCCACGGGAGAGCTGCCTGCTAACCAGTGTTCAGACTCTAACTACAGCCCAGCAGCAGAGACAGATGCCTTTGAGACAGATTCCTTCTAGACATGGCCTCAGGCTTTTGTTTCCTTTCACATCAGCTCAAAGGGCAGTGACATTTTGTCAGCCTGCTGAGAAAAAGCCAAACCAGGCCAAGCTGGACACGGTAGACGTCTGTGTCACGCAGACAGACACACTCCCCTCACTGCATGAGCTCCCACATGCGTCTCTTCACTCGAGCACACAAAAGGGTTTATTTACCAAACAGGGGTGCGACACAAAAAGGAGCTGTCTCTGCAGCATTGAAATGACCTCATTTTCTGCTGGAACCCAAAATAAAAGTTTACAACAGCATCTTTGCTCCAAATGTGAGAAGATGCATCATCCAAGGAAAATTTTTACTGCAGTAAATGCTCTGGCTCTCGCTGCAAGCCTGTTCTGAGCCTGTTTGCTTCGCCCTTCTGAATTAGAACGAACACCAAGAAATGTGTGCCCATAATGTTAGAGTTGAAATCCCTTAGTCATGAGAGCAAAATGCTCAGTAAAGGACATGGGAGCCGCAGAAGTGAGGGTGGGGAGACATGAAGACAGACGGGACTTAGAAGATGCCACCATGAAGCAGGGGACCAGTTCACCCAGTGACCAGGGAGGGGTCTCCTGGAAGCCGGTCATCGTTGGGCTGTCTCTCCTGGATGCCAACACAGGGAGCAGCTGGGAGACACCACGAGTGTGCATCTCCTGGGATTCTCATCCTTTTCTGCAGATTTGGACCTGGGAAGCCTTCCTGAGCTCTCTGATAAGAACTAGGGGTGAGTGCTGGTGCTGCCCAAGGTGGACGATGAGTCAGACCACAATGGACACACATACTGAGGCCGTGAGTGAGTGCACCTGCCTGGAAAATGGGAGGTTTATTTTTCTTTGTGATGTGACTAAATTTGGTTGTATTCCTTTTGCCATGTAGCAATACAACAAATATGTGCAAGCAGACTTGCAAAAACTGTCACTTTGGATGAGTAATGATGATCTGGGAATAAGGAACACTGGACTCATTTCTACAAATGCTCACTTATGTCTCATGAGAGAGGCTTATTTTTTAGACAATAGGTCTAATTTCTGTATTTTCAAAAAATAATCTGGGTGAAGGTGTACCATGCATTAATCTTTTATAGAAATACCACCTTTTAATAGAAGGTGGTATCTGTGTAAAGGAAATATGTTTCCTATAGCTCCTTGAAGGGAGAACAGACTACAGAAACAAAGGCCAGGGATTTATTTTCATGTAACAAGTAACAGTCGGTGAAAAAGTAGTATCTGACAAATAAGAATGGTCTGAGTGATGGTTACAAGCTTTTTTGTAATTTATTAAGTCTTTGTGGATCTATTAAATCATTAGTAAGGCAGAAATGGAACAACAGTGACATATTTAATCTCCCACTATTCAAATGGAATGGAATTTATTCCCCCGAAGGCTTAAGAGGTAAATAGCTAATATTTGTGTTTTCTGGAAATTCCATTTTTGCATGAACTTGGGCTCATCCTGGTGTGAGAATAAAAACCCACTGAGATCAAGGACACAGGCAAGCCTATTGGTCGCGATTTCTGTGCCCCAGAATATGTGGGGAGTCATGAAGATCTGCTTCCTGCCCACTGGACCCATCCTGAGTGAAATCATTGAGTGGAGAGACTCTGCACTTAACGGTTGCCAAAACAGACATGCGTGAAAAGGTATGTGACCCACTCTGACCTCCCAAGACCGTAAGTGCAAGCAGGGTCAGTAATCAGTCTCTAGATTATTGACAGTTACAACGAATTCAATTCCAGATGAGAAGTCTCTCTTCCTACATGCATGTGGCTTTGAAAAATGCCCCAAGAGCAAGATTTGTTTTGTTTCTTTTTTTTTTTTTCACTGCTCATCTCTTCGTGAACATTTGACCTTGACTGAAATCAGACAAAGGAACTCTGAGGTGTGACTCCTCAAGAGAGCCAAATCCAGAACTTCAACTTTTATATTACGGACTTTAAGATGAGCAAAAGATAAGGACTCATTTAGAAGTTTGGGGCGTGTGTGGGTTTTCCTTTAAAAATCTTAGCTAGAAGAAATATTATTCTTTGGACTACAGACAGTATTCAACCTCCTAAAATACCTTCAGTCTTCAAAATCCCCTGACTTATTTTTTTCACCTTAGGCTTTAGGAGTCTTCACAATATCATCATTAGGGCAATAATCAAATCAAGATACAGTATTCATTGATAAGAAACACAATGCTTTTCTGGCCCTTAATTTGGGAGTAGTATACTCTTTTACTGTCCTTAATCCTTTCAGGGGGCTTAGAATTGGTAGGAAATCATTGCAAGAGACACTTCTCACTTGCTACACATTCCATCTGTAGACAATACTTCATCTTTATAAGGCTTCCTGAAGATTGCCCAGCTCCTCAATTGAAGGAATGTGGTCCCTTGAGAGAGGTTACTTTGATTCTTCTCAAACTGTTAGGGGGAAAAGGGTGTCCTGAACCAACTCTACAGAAATAGGTTTCCTGGACACCACTCCCAACCCAGACACCAAAACTACAAATCTCAGCATCACCAAAGGAAGGATTGAGGGGACCTGAGGGTGGAGTTAAGCAGCAAAGTTTGATATGAAACCAGACATGTGGGCTTTGTGGGGTCTCTCGGCCTTGTGGCTCATGGCTTGTCTCTTGGCTTTTCGCTGGCTTTTAGCATGCTATTCAGGGTCCAGGCCAGTGGAACTGGTAGGACACGTTAACCAACTTATCTCTTTTTCTCTCTCTTCCCTGAGTTATTCCTTTCCCTTTCTCTTTCTCTTGTAAATAAACCTATTATTAACCTTTGGTGTGTGCCTATAAGTCCCTTTAAGCGCATGGTGAGGACCCCCAATCAGGCAACCCAATTCACAATGGGTTGCCCTGTAACAAAACCACTACACAAATTGGCTACAAATACAGAGATGTGCATGAAATAGCCTCACTAGAAAGGACAGTCTCTCCCTGGGCACCATTCCCAGAATGCAAAGCTGTGGTTGATGCATCCTTTTTCTTCCATTTTCTACCACTGTGTCCTTTTTCTACCTCTTCGCTTATCCCTGGAGGGCATCTTACAGAGGATGTCAGGGAAGAAACCACTGAGAACCATTCGGGAAGGTGTAGCATCTTTAGGAACCCAGAAGAACACCATCAGTCAAGAGAACCATGCTTATCCTCAAGAAACTTAACAATGAGAGAGGGTTGCTTAGAATGGAGGAGACAGGGTGAGTCTAGAAGAACACCCATCACCATTCAGAATCAACCATATCTTCTACGCGTTAGATACGACCGACCTGACACCTCAGCTGGTTACCACAGCATCAGAGATTTCTATGAAGTTTCCAAACTTCATTGGACTTCAGCAATGTAATAACAGGATCTCATGAAAATGTCACTGGTTTTGAAATGTTAAAAATAAAAGCAGATGCTTCCCTGCACGCTGGACATCCTTCCTGTGAAATACCAAAGCTTGGACGCTTAAACTATCAATTGCCACCAGGAATTCTTGGCCTTGCAGTGGCAATTCCTCTAGTGACAAGAGTGATAAATAATGATGCTGTTCAAGTACTTTATCTGGGCCTCATATGACTCAAATTATATCACAGAAGGCTTGAATTTTCCACTTAGGCTCACTTGACTAGCTCTTTACTTAAGTAGAATAAAATGACTTGAATGTTTTTTTGTTTTTCAATGTCCTCTGATCATTCATCTTACTAAATTTGTTGGCTACTAAACGCAAGATCCATCTTACATATACTTTTCTAAACCTTTAAAGCAACTTGAAATAACATTTTAAAAATCCAGGTTCCACATCCCAACCGAACCTTACCCGGGCCAGGCCGTCACTGGACTGGACATCCGTCTTCCCAGGTTTGGAGTTGTGCTTGTCATTGCTGGCAGCCGGTGGGGCTTCTGTCTGTGGAGTCCTATGCTCTGTCGCTCTGTCCACTTCTGACCCATCCGGAGGGGACCCAGCCACCTCCTTGAGAGGATCTGGGCCGTTTGCTAACTCGAAGGCGTGACCATTTCCGGGCTCAGGGTGCAGGCTGTGGTGCGGCTCGGAGGCTGGGTCGCCGTCCAGGTCACAGCCAGAGCTGCTCTTGGACTCCTCAGAGGCCTTGGGGGTAGAAGGCCTGGAAATGACCCCAAACTTCCTCGCTCTCTTTCCTTTTTTCACAGTTCCGTCTCCCAGCTCCAAGTTTGGGGTCTCTCCTGGTTCAGAGCTGTGGCTGCTGCTGCCGTTGTAAGGAGAATGGACTTTGTGCTTGAAGCGCCGCAGCATGATCAGGTAGATGAAGCCTCCATTCCAGCACTGTTCAGCCAGGTAACTGCAACAGACGGAGCGGCCGTGAGCACCTCAAAGCATCCTCCCAAACGCGGTGGGGGCGGGGGGTGGGAGACACGCATTCAGTGGGCCACCCAGGACCCACGTGGCTAAAACCTGGCCAAGGGCTTGGGGTACACAGCTGTGAAAAGACGCTCCACACTCAATTCATCTTTTTAATCTATTCATTCCTTTGTTGTGGATGTGAAAAACCAGCCCAAACCAAACCAACCGACCGAAAAGCTCCACGAACTCAAAATTATCCATGCAATCCCCTGGGAGAGGTGCCAGAGAAATATTTTGTACTAATAGAGTCAATTTTAACATATGATTGAAAATTCTCTTCTGCTCTCTTGGCAACTTCTTGCATCGGAATCAGATGAGAACTCCCATTCGTATGGCTCTGCCTGAGTGACTGAAAGTCCCCAGGGGGAAGGTTGAGAAAATAGACGGGGGTG